CTAATGACAGTATTTTTATGTTTATTCTGCCACAGTTACTTTTAAGAGAAAAGCAGAGCTTATATTAAGGTCTGAGCACAAAATAATAAGAAGAAGAAGAAGATACAAAAGCAGTGAAAGGGAGAAGAGGCCATCTCATAACAACTGCCATGCGTGGTGGTGGACACCTTGCAGTCATTGAGTCGACCGTGAACTCCTCTTATACCAAAGTGTTCTAGAGTCAAAACTGTCTGGAAGCTAAACCTTGGGTCACGCGGCAGGACAATGATCCTGACCACAGCAGAAAAATCTACAACAGAATGGCTGAAAAAGGAAAAGAATCAAAGTGTTGCAAAGTCCCGACCTTAACCTGATTACAAAGCTGTCGTAAGAGAGCTGTGTATAAACAAAGCCCACAAATCTCAATGAACCAAAGCTGCAAAGAAGAGTGGGTCAGAATTCTTCCACAATAATAAAGTCGTACAGCAAACAAACTACAAACTACTGAATCATGGATTGTACTTCGTTTTTCACAGTACTGCAGAGGATCCTGTGAAAACGTTGTTTCATATAATCACTGCAGTCGGTTAGTTGGCCATTTTTGTACTGGGCACACTGTGAACTGCCAAAGCTGATCACATGGCACAAAATGAATGATGCTGTGTTTTTTAGATGGATTTAATATTGTGCCACTGGTGACGCTCATGACATGTCAGCTCTTTAATTCGGCTCAACTCATCCATATCACTGAGTGCTTAGATAATGAGATGAATGTTGTATTTTGTTGAGGGAGACACGAATCCATCAGGTTTCTTAGTAAATCCTGCATGCACAGTACTTGGACCCTACTACACAGAAGCCAACATAAGCAGTGAATGACTTCTGGAACGTGATGCTATAGAAAAGCTTTACATGCAGCCCGCGAATACCAAAGTCTCACTTGGGTCACTCACTTCTAATAGATTGTATTGAATTTCCTTCAGATTCTCAGTTTAATTATGTGGCCTAACCTATTGGCAGGGATTACAAACTCAAGCACAGCTTTGCAGTATGCAGACAAAACTGTTATGCTGATCAAGTGCGTAGTGGTAGCAGAGATGGATTTAAAAAACCAGTGACCTTCACAGCAAAATTGCAAGCTATCCATCTGTGTGAAAGGTTGAAGAGATGAGCGAGACACAGTGCACATCACCTGATGTTAGCTAAGTGAGGAGAGAGCTTGGCAGACGCACCTGTCCTCTGGCATACAGTCAAGGGAGCATCATGTTAGTCATATTGTGTGATACTGTTAATAAACAAAGGTGTGTACAGCTCAGTATTTCCCAGTCAGAAAAGGAAAGAAAGAAAACATACAGATATGGGAGATATGTGCATCTGTTATTTATAAGATCACAGCCAGCATGGTACACAATCACAGTTGTTTCTTTCAACTGGTAGGAATGATGTGGACTAAAGGCCTAAGTGAGACCCTTATCCTAAACCTCTAAAGGTAATGCAAAAAAATCTAAGAAAAAAACAGGATGTACTTCTGCATTAGAAGCAACTATCTTAAGAAACATCCTACTCAGAAATCTTTTCTTTAGTCAGAGTGAACACCTGAAGGCCTGTGTGCAGAACCCTAATGTGGGCCAAGAAGAACCAATCAATCATTCTGTGGGAACCACAGAGCATGCTAAAATATTCAAAAAGAGAGCAAATCCCCGCCGAGGCAACACCTGCGATGGTGGCTGGTGGGTTGCGTGCAGAGAGATACATCAGCTGTCTTGTACATCCAATCTTCTCTGTCACAGTAAAAATACACTAAAGGGGAGACGAGTCAAAACTGAATTAAGTTTTTCCTTTAAAAAAAAAAAAGGCAGCATGAACCCAGCTCCAGCGTGCTGTCAGGGGTGCATCATTATGCAGACCTGTACATCTCTGTGAATGTAGATTGTTTTTTTGGCTCAGGAAAACCACCATGACTAATTAATGATTTCATGCAACAGCACTGTTGCAGAGTGCTGCAGCAGCATTATACAGTAACCGGCTGATATCTAGCCAAAACATGTTATAGGTTTTTCCTAGGAAATGAAAATAAATGAAAAAAATATTTTAAATAAAACAAAAAAACAACAACATTATTCCTACTATTTCACAATTTTTCTCCACTTCAGCCACCCAAGAGCCATTTCAACAACTTGTTGTGCTATTGACTGCATTTGCTAAGTGAGTGTTGCCATAGATTATTCCACATAAAATAAACGGTAGGAATAAAATATGACTTTGTCCTGATGTATTTGTGGAGATGCACGAAATATTAAAATACTGGTCTTTTTTTTACAGTCCTCTACTGCCCTCCTCTGGTAGTTACAAATATGCCTCCATCAATCCCAACACAGATTTATCACTCTGTGCGGTCTGGCTCTATCCATTTTTTGATCTTGGCTGACACTGGGTGACCCAGAGTGCTGACCGGTTGCCAGTCCATCACAAACAGAAAAAGAGACTAACTATTCAACCTCACATCCACACCTAGGGTTGATGTGTAATAAGATAAGAAAAACTATGATTATTTTTTTATTATTTATTTTTTTGAAGATTTTTTTTTGTTTAGATGTTTAAATGGTCTCCCTGTGCCTGTGTGGGTACTCTCTGGGTCCTCCCAGAGTCCAAAGACATGTGTGTGAGGATAGCTGATGGCTCTGAATTGACCACAGCTGTGAATGCAAGTGTGAATGATTCTCTGTCTCTGTGTTAGCCCCATGAAAGACTGGCAACTTGTCCAGTGCTTCACCCACACTTTGCCCCATGACAGTTTGAATCAGATGTTAAAGTGTAATGGACAGTACAGGGCCTTTATTGTGCTGTAAGTGAAAACTATTATCCTGTTAACACAATGTCTTTTGGACAGATGTGGACAAAGCGGAGATATTTGGTCACAATGCTCAGCGTCATATTTGGAGAAAACCAACACAAATGTTTCATATCACCTGTCGGGCATGGTGGAGGAGGGGGTGATGATTTGGGCTTGTTTTGCAGCCACAGGGTCTGAGCACCCTGCAATCACTGACTCAACCATGAACTCTTATATATACCAAATTATTCTAGAGTCAAATGTGAGGCTGTCAACCTGACAGCTAAAGCCAAAGCACAGCAGCAAATCTACAACAGAAAAGAGCCAAAATGACTCTTGCTGTAATGCAGTGACCCAGTCAAAGTCCAGACCTCAATCTGATTAAAATTCTGTACTGGCATTAAGACAGTTGTGCATAAGCAAATGCCCACAAATCTCAATGAACCAAAGGAAAATTGTAAAGATGCGTGGGGCAAAATTCCTCCAGGGGAATATGAGAGTGTATTAAAGTCATATGTAAACAGTTGCTTCAAGTTATTGCAGCTAAAGTTGCTTTTACAAGCTACTGAAGCATGGGCCTGCATAGAGCCCTGTGAAAGCTGCCTTTTTCATATTACTTTAAAGTATTGGTCACCGTCCTTTGTGTCCTCTAGATCATTCTCTAGAAACCTCATATTTCATTTTGTACTTTTTGCATTTATTTCTTATGATTTCAATATTTTTTGGTCTTTTATTTGGCCTGAAGGCAAAATCGCTGCTGAAAGGTATATACAGGTTTTAAAACAGTGTATGCTTCTATCCAGATAATGTCTTTTTCATGGAAGTCATTGCAAATTTCACCTTAGACGAAGTGTCATCTCACATTTGCCAAAAACATCTCAATGATCCCCAAGATTTTTGGGAAAATATTCTGTGGTCTTACAAGATAAAGGTTGAAGTATTTGAAGGTTTGAGTCCTGTTAGTGTTTTATAAACAGAACATCACACTAACAGTCACACATGGCGGTGGTAGTGTGAGGATCTGGAGCTCCGTTGCTGCTCCAGGACCTGGACAATTTGCTGTAATTGATGGAACCATGAATTCTGCTCTCTCCCAGTTCTTTGTCTCAATTTTTTTGCCCTGAAGCTCAAGAGGACTTGGGTAATGCAACAGGACAGTGATACAAAAAACACCAGCAAGTCCACGTCTGAATGGCTCAGGAAAAACAAAAGGAAGGTTTTGGAGTGGTCAAGTAAAGGTCTGAAATCAAATTGAGATGCATGACCTTAAACAGGCCGTTCATGTTCAAAAACCCTCCAATGTGGTTGAATTCAAACAATTTTGCAAAGATGAGTGACACAAAATTTCTCCACAGCGATGTGAGCCCCTCGTCATCAGTTATTTTAAACACTTGATTGCAGGTGATGCTGCCAAGGGTGGCACAATCAGTTATTAAGTTTAGGGGGCATTTACTTTTTATTTTTATCTGAAAAATGTAAATGTTACACAGTTTCCATGGTATTGGAGGATTCTAGCTGCTCAACAGTCCTGGGTTATAATTGTCCAGTATTTAGCTTCATGCACTAAATATGTACCCTTCTATTACGAAGCCATGCTGTTGTAATGAATGCAGTATGTGCAGCATTCAGACGGATGCTGCATACGTCCCCTCGGCCTGTTTTTTTTTTTTTTTTTTTTTTTTTTAAAAATATTTCAAAATGATTTAATTTTGGTCTTAAAACTTATAAAATTTCTCACTTTAAACATTGGACATGTTTCATCATGATCTAATGAAGAAAAAACATGGGTTTGTGATAAATATTCGCATGCTCAATTTATTTCTATTTGGCACAGGATTCTAATGAAGACCATGGTTTAATAAAAAAAAATTTTTTTAAAAAGATCTCATAACATTTTTATTTCTTTAAAGATTTTTGATTGCCATTTTTCCGTGTGAAATAACTAAGTAAACAAAGGCTTTAGTGGACCTGTCTTTCTCTCGTTTTCTGCTTCGGCCTATTTTTCCAGCGTACACATTAGCACGCATCCGCACATAATAGTTATCTGATGCATTGTTTTATACTGAGACGAAGCGTCTTCTTTTTCCAGTCTGATCTTGTTTAATAAAGTTAAAGCAAATCTACTCTTTCATTTTAGGGACGCTCCGTGACGTCAAACCCACAGCTTTAATCGCAATGCGCATGCGCTTTGTTTCAGAAGCTAGACTGCGTTCGACGGCACGAGCGATGTTGTGACTTCAGCGAGTCAGCTGCTAATTGCAGTGCATTAAGGGGGGTTAGCAATGGTCTCTGCTATTTAGACCTGTTTTTTTCTTTTGAGTTTAATACCGTGGCTCGTTTCGCCTGTACGGACGCTTAGGCGACAGAAGTCAGGACCTCCTGTATATAAACAAAACGCAGCGAGCTGCTTTTTAAGGTGGCACCACCGAGACAGCAGCTGGAAAGTCGTTCGTTAAGTTAGCTAACTTCATGTTGGCCGCACTGTCAAAGATGGAGCTTGCTTCACGGCTTTGTCAGAAGTAACACGATTTAAATAAAAATAAAAACTTCAAAGTGTATCCGTGTTAACATGAGAGAAGAGGCCGGTTTGAAAGGTAGGCAGCCTATGGCAAAAGAAAGAGGGGCTGAACGTCGCTGCAGCTGGCCCCAGTTGACAGAGGAGAAAGGACTCTCTAACAAGAAGGGTGACCTGAGGTCTCCTGGTTATCTGTCCAGGTCTTAGTAGTGTAAAAGTAAAGACTTTGGCTCGACATGGAGACTGTGGGGAAATTTGAGTTCAGTCGGAAGGACCTGATAGGGCATGGCGCATTTGCTGTGGTCTTTAAAGGTAGACACCGAGAGGTGAGTATTACCCCTTTGCAAGTTTATAATACGTTTTATTGCTGCTATAAAGAAATCCGTTGTCTTTTTTTTTTTTAAGGCAGATTTGTTGCGCTGTTAAATGTAGGTCGCCATCTGGTGTAGTTGTTGTCATTGTACGCCCTTAAGAGGCCTAGTCTCACATACAGGATGTTCCTTGAAATAACAAAGCTGTATTAAAAAACGTTGAAATACTTTATTTAAATACTTGCGACACATTTTATGAAAGCATGCCTGGTTATTGTGTGACTGCCTTTATTTTTGTGGCTGGCTTGTGGTGCAGATGTTGTGTGTCAGCGTCGCTAATGTAAATATAGGCCACCAGACACGTATTGTTTTCCTTAGAAAGCTCCACACTGAGGCCAAATAGACATGTTCAAACATGTACTACACCCAGAATGGATGGATATGAAATGGAAATGCTCCATCCTGAGACGTGTAATCCACTCAGGGGATCATGTGGGCCTGAAGCATCTATGTTGCTTCTTTACTACATTGGCAGACAGATAATTTCACCCCGTTAGAGCTCTTCGCTCTCTGCGGACTTGCTTGTTTTTCCTAGGATATTTAAAAGTAGAATGGGAACCTTCAGTTTTCGGGCCATTCTTTTGTGGAACCAGCTTCCAGTTTGGATTCAGGAGACCGATACTATCTCTACTTTTAAGACTAGGCTTAAAACTTTTCTTTTTGATAAAGCGTATTGTTAGGGCTGGATCAAGTGGACCTGAATCCTAAGATAAGCTAAAACTTTATTGATCCTACAGCAGGGAAATTTGTGCGTTTCCACAGCTCAGGTACAGATAGCAGAAGAGCACAAAGTTATGCTGCTATATGACTAGGCTGCTGGGGGATTCCCATAATGCATTTAATTATCTGGTGTTAATATTTGGCTCTCTCAACAGCATGTCCTCCTCTCCTCACCCCAGCCGGATGCAGCACATGGCTGCCCCTCCCTGAGCCTGGTCCTTTTAGACCAGGAAGTTTCTTCCTGTTAAAGGGGAGTTTTTCCTTCCCACTGTTGCCAAATCTCTTGCTTATAGGGGATCATATGATTATTGGGGTTTTCTGTTTTCTTTGTGTTATTGTTTGGTCTTTACCTTACAATATAAAGAGACTTGAGGCAACTGTTGTTGTGATTTGGTGCTATATAAATAAAATTGAAGTGAACAGAATAATTTTCATCCGCTGTTTTCAGTGCATTTTACAATACGGTAGTGAACTGCCTTTAATTTTGCTGCAAGGTCAGAAAATCCACTGCCAAGGTCACTGCAGTGATTTATATGAAATATGGTGCATGGGAGTCTGCCTTAAAAAGAGGAGAAAACCCTTAGCAATCAGACCTTCTGGCTGTTTACACTCTCAGCAAGTCATTTCCTTGTAGGCCAACACTTCATGGTAGTCAACAAACAAATATGCCATAGTGTGACACTTTACATTTCCTTTTACCAAACCATACATTTGACAGATGTCAGTGCAGTGAGACAAAGTGCAGACACTTTCTGACATTCGAGCACACCTCATTCTCTGCAGTGTTTTATTTCTTTCTTCAAATGACTTGAGTTTCTGTGCTCCAGAAACATGACTGGGAGGTGGCAGTAAAATGCATCAACAAGAAGAACCTAGCCAAATCTCAGACTCTGCTGGGGAAGGAGATCAAAATACTGAAGGTAAGTCAAGTTCAGAGAGAGACAAAAGAACACCCCCTGCCTAGTGTTCAACATCAGATTGATTGATGTATGTTTTCGTAGTTAAATCTGTCACCTGGCATCTGAACCTGGTATGGTATTCTGAATATGGTATTCACAGCTGGCCACGTGCCAGATGTGTTAGTGAAATATGAGGAGTGGTTATCTCAGCATGATTGTCTTACTAAACGCAGAGTTTGTTATAGTGAAAATGAGTACTCAGAAGCTTCTCACAGACTACAAGAATGCCCTGACCTGAACAAGCATGTAAAAAGAAATGTGATGATGATAACGATATGTGACCTGAAGTATTTTGTCTTTTCTGTAGGAACTCAAGCATGAGAACATTGTTGCTTTACTGGACTTTCAGGTATGTAGCATCACATTCACAGGTGTCAAAATCACATGTTAAGGTTTCTCATTTTTCCCTGTTAGACAGCAGCTGAAAGCGGAGCAGATGGGCTGCTGGATGTGGCTTTTCCACATGACCCACTTGTGTCTCATGTAGGGCTGAACGATTATGGAAAATAATCTAATTGCGATTTTTTGCCCCAAGATTGCGATGCGATATGCGATTATTTTTTAAGGTCTTTGTCTTCTGTATTATTAAACAAAGACAAGCAATACATCATATAGTATGGCCAATACTATATTACATTAATTTTAAACTGTTCTTTCCTGGAAGACAGACCTCTGTTATGATGACATGAGGTGATGCATGAATTGATGACTGACATTTTTATTTAACTTCTTCAATCACAACAGTATATTTGAACATACACAATAGTTTATTTTTAGCTTACAAACATCTGAGCATAAAGTGCTGACAAGGAACCCTGGTGTAAACATTAAAATGAAAGTCAGTACAATGTGCAGATTGCAGAAATATACATAAAAAAAATCAGTGGCTTTACCACACTCAGTTTTTCGACATCTGTGAACTACTAGACAGTCATTCAATTAAAAAATAATAAAACTAATAAATAAAAAATACACACATCTTACTGATCTCTGCAGTCAGTAACATTACACATAAAGTGCAAACATAATAGCAATTGTATAAACACACACACACAAACCTCTGATTAGCGTCACCGCTGTCTCGGTGGAGTTTAATAAACTCGGCCGTCTGCTTCTTGCTATCTAAAATATAACCAGACACTGGTGTAAATTCTCGACTGTCTCATACTTCTGTTTAATAAGTTTTCTGTTTGACGTTTAGTCAGCTGTGTGAAAACCAAGGAGGAACCCACCCGGGGGATTAATAAAGTTTTATTTTATCTAATCTAATAACTTTAATCTCAGCCAAACCGATTTACTCACGAACAAACAAAACACTGAAAAAAGCCCAACAATAACATTTTTAGGTTGTCTAAGTGACTTATATATTACGTTTAACCCGAGCAGCGAAACTCCGCGGTGATCTGAAAATGATGTGCCGGGAGTTGTGCCGTTCTGGGCCGCATCAGTAATCCTCGAGCTTCCGGCTAGCTGTCGAGCTGGTGGGTAGCAAACGCCTCTGAAAACGTCGAAGCACTTTTGCAAATATGGGATATCTTGATAAACCGAGCAGATATTTGATGTTTACACAACTACTTTCTCGCCTGAAAATATGTTAAAAGTTTATTTTGTGACCCAGAAAGATTAGTATGAGTAATTTTAAAACTTAGTAGCGGCCGCCATTGCTGGAAACTGGAGTTTGGCTGGGCCGCGCTATGAATTCTGGGATATGGTAGTAATTTGGACAGCCTTCGGCGCGTCGCTGTGACGTAATCGGTCTACAAATGCGGCCTCAGGAGGATGCAGCCCATGAATTTGGACATGTCCAGAGTATAATCACAGCCTTTGCGGTTAGAAAATTGCACTTGATCATGTCGCGATATTATCGCAAATGCGATATATCGTTCAGCCCTAGTCTCATGCTAGTTGCACAGTTATGGCTTACCTATTTGTTAAATGAGGCTTTCCAACATTTGTTTGTTTTAAAACTGTTTGTTTCTGCTCTGGCGACTCTGGTTTTTTGGCCCGTTGAACTTGGCCAACCCTTCTAGTGCTTAAATTCTCTCTGCTGCTACGTGGCCTGTTCTTGATGGCCTCCTTTTATTAAGTCTTTCTTTGAAGTGTAGCAATTTAAGTTGTGCGTGTAGGCAGAAACAAGTTGATCAGGGCACAGGCTACTGTGTTAATGCTTCTTTACCAGTTGTTCATGGTTAGAGAAGCAGATATCCTGGCTCACCATAATAAACAAAAGGTGTTGCATTTTTAATCAGAGTCCACACTCTCAGTGATGTCTCTGTGATGGCCGCACCTGCTAGTTAGTTTAGATATAATGTTCCTTACTTCCACACACAAACTCTTATCTGAACTCACCAGATGTTTCTTCTGTCTTTGTAGTTCTTGATTAACAAACTGCCATCTGGTTTAAAAAAACATCAAATGTGCAAATTCTGCTAATTTCAAAGGCTGCGTTGTTCTTGCAGACTAACAGCAGGTAGCTGATGCTGTGTCTTTGAAGAAACTGGTCTGGAACAAATCTCTTAAAAATGTTTGTAATTTTAAAAAGTTGCAAAGAAGTTTTGAAGGTTGTTTCATTGTGATCTGCTTATTTATTTTTAAATGAAATGTGAATCCTTGACTCTTAAGAACAGAGATGAGATCCTCCTTCTCTGTGTGAAGAGAAAATGAAAACTGTGCACATATTGAAAGTTTCATTAGCGGACTGGGGGTTTGAGCTATCATTCTCTGCCCATATCGGTTAAGCTTGACAGCTTACTCATAATGGAAGAACAGTGTTGCATGCTATCATATGAGCTGCTTGCTGCTTACACACTAAAGCACTGAAATAATTAGCAACAATCATTTCTCTGGACATGCAGAACCTTAAAAAATACCCTGTTCTCTCTTTATCGTCCGTGCTGGCTGGGGATAGTTGGAGCTGGGCTCTAAGATTTCAGGTTTGTTGTGGCACGACAGTGCTGATCTTCTTAGCTGGCAATCCATCCATCTATCTAATTAGGTCCTAAAGAAACTGACACCAAACCAAGCTCTGGAAACCAGCAATGAAAGGGACTGAAGATGGGTTTGCAAGTCAAATATTTGTGTATTGTAGGCTTTCAATTTTGAAGGGTTAGTGTTACTCATCTGGGTCCAGACCTTTGAATCTGTTTGCTGTACTCAGATCGACTGATCTGTCTTGATATTAAACCATTGTTTGACAGTTGAAAAAGTCAACTAGCCAGTCAGAGCCATGGCCACAAATACCACCATTGTCAAGATCTTCTCAAGCTGTACATCTAGTGACATATAGAAAAAGAAACCCTTTCACCTGCTGTCAGCGTACGACTGAATATTGGCTAAAGAATTCAGACTCATTCAAACAGGGTCAAGTTGTCAATCGCATGCAATCTGTTTCTGATAATAAAGCGATTCGTTGAAATTGAAGCTGAAGTTCACACGAAGTCCAACCAGAGTCTCACAGATTTGAAAAAGAAATCTGGAAATTTTATTGAACTGCCAAATGACAACCTTGGTTTTATTTGGGAATATAATCAGTTGGCAATCAGCTGAGCCAAACCCCAAAGTCCAGTTTTCACTCGAGTGTGACTGAGTCATTATAACCCAGGACGTAGTTCAGATTTTTTTTTTTTTATTGTAAGCTATTACAGTGCCATGGCAAACGGCAACAACACCAAACCTCTTATTTAACTATTTCATCAAATGTTATTTACCTAGCTTAGTGTTTCCCCACCGCCCCTAAACTCACTGGTTGCTTGTGTTTGGCCGTCCATCTTTAATAAAGCCAACGACAACTATTCAGAAAGCCTGACTCAGCTGAACTGTATAAAACAGTCTGGCCTCTGACTGCTGGCTTTAGTGAGATACTGAATGGAGGTCAGAGAGAGACTACAGTCGTCTGTTGCCATGAGATAAGAGAGGTTTTTTAAAATGGGCTTGACTACCCTTCACAAAGTTTTCCTTTTTTTAAAATAAGTTTTGGACTGTTTCCAAAGTGCACAATAGATGTTTGAGTTTCTGTGGTTCTAAGTTCTCAGTAAGGAATAATTTCTAAATGATCCATTATTTGTTTTTTATCTTGGTGTTGATGTGAGAAAATATGACTCGCTTGTTACTGATTCACACTTGTCGCCCGTTGCTTTGTTAATGTTGCTGAGGACAGAGTCCACCTTCTCTGTTAGTATTTATTTTATTTTTTTTTATTGTTGATTTTGCTTTTTAAGGATGCACTAATTGAATTTTTGGGTGGTATATAAAATCATTTGGCCAATAGCCAGTGCCTTTTTTTGTCTTTGTTTTGTTTGGTATTTATTTCCACTCGGATTCCTAATTTCTGATGGCAGACATACAATTCAAGTGGGGGTTTTTTGTGTGTTTTTTTTTAATCCACACCACCTCCATATTTATTGTGTAAGAAACAAAGAAAAAAAGAAAACGGGTGTTTCAGGGGTATCAGTTGGTTCTGCCTATACAGACCTGGTGTTTTAATCCTCCTCCCATTGTGCAACTTTTATAGACTTGTCGGTATCTGTATCTGGATTTTAGCCACTTATTTTCGCTTTTCTGCATCTGTTTAAGCTGCTTGATACTTCTAGTCTAAGTCACCTCGTTAGCTTGCTTTAACATGAGTGGTGTGTACAGGAACCATCTGTTCCTTCTGCTTTGTCTGCCACTGGCGTGTGTGTGTTTACCCCCACTCTTCTTATCTCCCTTCTCTTTAGGAAACTGCCAGCTCAGTGTACCTGGTAATGGAGGTAAGCTTGCTGGGATGTTTGGCTTTGTTTGCTCAGCGCTGTATTGTCTGAACTCTAACAGGGCTAAAATTAGCTGTCTCCTCTGGCATCTGTGGGGGGGTTAAATGGCTAACAGCCACTACTCTTTTTGCTGTGATTTGATGCTGTTGTCCTGATTATGAATTAGAGGGGGAAAGTCCATAAATGGAGGGAGTTGTGAGTTCTCAAATTGCTTTTGATTCTTTTGATGCTCATACTCTTGTTTTGTGCATTTTAAATAATTTCTTCAAGGGAACATGCCAGACTGTTTTATCAATGTAAATTTTTTTTATAGTATTTGTCAAAGCGATTAAAAATTGCTTGCTATTTTTGTTAATGTATTTTGTAAAAATACATATACACTCACTAAACTTTTTATTAGGTACACCTTGCTAGTACCAGGTTCGATCTCTGACTTCTTTGACTTAAGAACTGGCTCAGATCTCGGTGGCATAGATTCAAGAGGGTTGGGTCTATATCGACTTGATATCATCACACAGATGCTGCTGATTTTTTGTGGATTCATGCCTTCATATTGTTTACACCACATTCTGAACCTACCATCTGACTGTTGCAGCAGAAATCAAGACTCATCAGCTCCAGCAACATTTTTCCAGTTATCTGTTGTCCAATTTTGGTGACCTCCCCCTTTACTTGAAGTCCCAGTATCCTGTTTCTTAGCTGACCGGAGTGGCACCTACTGTGGTCTTCTGCTTCTGTAGTCCACCTTTTTTAAGGTTCGACATATGCATTCAGAGGTTTGCAGATGTCTTCTGCAAACCTTGGTTCTACCAAATGGTCATTCTCCTGTGGCCTCAGGAAGGTATTTTACATGGAGAACTGCCGCTCGCTGAATATTTCCTTTTTTGTGGCTCACTCTCTGTGGTCAGATGATCAGGTGTACCTAACAAAGTGGCTAGTGAGTGTACACGACATTGACAGCCAGGCAGAAGAACTTTGGATTTCTTATCCTCATTTTAATCTTCTGCTGTCAAATGTGTTCTGTCATGTACTTTGCCATTAAAATAAAAATATACAATTGCTGTCTAGATCTATACCACAAGTCAAAAGCAGATTTCTTTATGCTGATCTGTGTGTCTGAGAGATTAAACTACTTGTGAGGCAGCATTTTACGGCCTCACCTGTCACAGCCCGTCCTTTTCTGGGTTCATTCATATTAATGCTGGGAATGGGAACAAGGGTATAAATCTGTAAACACATCACTCTTCGGCAAATCACTCCTCTGATCTCTGCTGCTTTCTAGTTGCTTCAGAGGCTGTGTGATCTCAGTCTTTTTCACTGTGGTTACACCTCAGTCCTCGGTGCTACCTGTGTTTTCTAATGCTATTCCTTTTCATCTCTCTCCCCCTCCCCTTCATTCCTGCCCTGTCACTATTTTTAACCACAGTACTGCAACGGCGGCGATCTCGCTGACTACTTACACTGTAAGTGCAACAGTTTATCTACTTATGCTCAATGTACTCAAAATGCTTCTTAATCCAAATAATCAGTTAAATCAGGAATAAAATCTTTGCTCAAAAGTCTTTCTAGATCTAAAGCAGGCCCTGAATGCCCTTCTCTTTTATCTGAACACAACGATTATATCCGTTTCCTAGCAAGCGAGATGAAAACTGGACTTTTGGCATATTTTCATTGGTATGTAAATGATGATATTTGGCATAGACATGTGTTCAGGAAAGAGCTTAAATTTCAGAAATAAGAGAACAGCAGAGCAACCATAGAACTAAAAAATGGATTCTGCAATGATGGCCAAATCATCAATAGTCTTAATTATAACCTTAAATTAGTAAAAGCCTCCAGTAAAGCACTTTGTGACAAAACGTTTATGTTAAAGAATTTGTCAGAGTGAATTTCTCAAAGGGAGGTGCTGGTTATGACAGTTATTTTTCTGTCACCTCCCAACACTCAGGTCACATCTTTGTTTTGTGAGACTTCAGGCTGTTTAGCCCTGAAAGCAGCAGCAGCAGCAGATTTGGCTTGTCACTAACAGATTTGGACCCAAACGTTTTAATAGTGTGTTACGTTCCCCTGAGGGGTCTAGGCGGGGAGAGGGAGGTAACAAAAAGTGACCAGGTCAGAAAAAGGAGTCAAGGAGGCAAAAGGGTTCAATTAAAGAGTTTTATTAAAGATTCAATTTATACTAACTAAAAGAGACAGACAAGCCGCTATCACCATTTAAGAAAACAAACAAAACTCAGGCGTTGGTCAATAAAGTAAAACGTAAGCCAAAAAGAAAGAGCAGCTCACTAGCTGAAAACCACCAAAGACACAGCTCACTAGCTGCAAACACAACCACTCAGCGCACAAGCTGTAACCACACTACTGGCACTCTGGCCCAGAGCTCACTTTTCCCTGGGCTTAAATCTCCTTGATTACTGATGAGAGTCAGCTGCACAAAAGGGAAAGGTGGCACCTCAGGCAGAAGAGGTAGTGGGACACGCCCACACAGGCACCTTCAGGAGAGAGGCCCTGCTAGGGCCGTAACAAGTGCCTAAAGAATAATCAGACCAGAGACAGCTCTCTGCATTGTTCCTCTGTCTTTTAATAAACACAGTACAGTGTTTGATCATATACTTAGAGCCACCTTGTGCTCACTTTTGAGTCAGAATGGTAGAAAACTGGGAATTTCTCAGCACTACAGATTTTCCCAGCTTCGTCGTATCCTCACCAAACTTCTCTGGGCTTCAAATAGCCAGGACCATCAATCCATTTGTGATATCCGTCAAACTTCCTGTAATTTTGCACCCAGACTCTAAATAGAAATCCCATCCTATTCTATTAATAGCCAGCATGATTGAAAAATGGGTTTGGATCCTCTCCCCATTGTAATAAATGACCTAGACTGCTTCCAGCTCAAGGCGAATACAGCATGTCTTTTAAAAGTCTGCTGGAAGGGACGTGGACATGGAGCAATTGTAGACAAGGAAGTGTCCATAACGCAATACTGTATCATTTTGAGCTGGAGACACAAAAGAGGACATGACAGTTGGGTGATATTAGAGAACCCAGGAATAAACACACGCTGCAGATAATTTAGGAAATGTATTAAAATGATCTGTTGCATAAAATCATTGTATTCCAACTATAAACTAAGAGAGATTCATTCAGTCCGTGATAGGTTTACCGATATCATCATGTTGTGTCCTCATTAAGAAAATTCTACTTGCATCGTAACCTGTAGGATTCACATCAAAGTTAGTGATTAATTGATATTTGCTTTGTCTTTTCCTTCAGCTAAGGGCACACTGAGTGAGGACACTATTCGGGTTTTCCTGCAGCAGATTGCAGGAGCCATGAGGGTCCTACAATCCAAAGGAATAATTCACAGGGACCTCAAGCCACAGAACATCCTGCTTTCTTACCCACCAGGATGCAAGTCACACTCCAACAACACCTGCATCAAGATTGGTAGGTTTGGTTATGTGAGAGTCTTTAAGGCGATTATACATACTGTTTGTTTTTGTTTTTTTTTAAGCATTTCAACACACTTTAGGAGACTTTAAGATTTTTTTAAGCTCTGTAGTATCTGTTGATTAATATGCCAAACAAGAATACATTTTTTTTAAAGTGATGGCAAAACATTTAAAATATAAAACTTGTGGGATTTAAAGCAGCAGAACAATTTACAGGAGCAAAAAAATAATTGAATCTCAAAATCTCCTTATGGAAATTCCTACAACGTAATCAACTTTTTTTATAGACAGTTAGTTTTATTGCAATGGGATCTCATAATGATTTCCCTGAGGTAATTGATTACCCGAAGCTCAGAAGGCTAAACTTGTTTGAAGAAATTGATTACATATAGAATTTCACATTTTACCTCTGCAGTGTTGCTATTGTTCTTCTGAGAGTGCACGCTGTTTAAAAATGCCGCAAAGCAAAGACGCTTTCTACAACTACAAGATGCACTTGTGTCATCCAGTTTAAAATTGATTGATGTGGTAGAAGATGATATTGGTGCAACAGAAAGTAATCAATAAGTGTCTGGCTATTGGTGACTCTATTCTTAAAAACATGAAACTAGAAACCCCAGTGGACACAGTCAGAAGTATTCCAGGTGCCAGAGCAGGCGACATTGAAGTAAATTTGAAATTCCTGGCTAAGGCTATGGAGCAGGTGTGTAACTTTACCAAAATAATGTCATACTCTGTAGTTTTCTCTGATCCCATACCCAGTCGGACCAAGCTTGACATGTTTAGCTGTATGTCACTAATTGCTGGCTGTCCGAGTGGCGTCCAGCATGTGAGCTTCATAAATAAATGGAAAACTTTCTGGGAAAAACATGGTCTTGTCAGGAGAGACAGCAGTGGACACCAGCCGTTTAAAGTCTTCTCCCACAGAGGTTGATTATTTTGTTAAGTGTTACAGCTTCACTGTATACATCGCTCAAGGCAACAGATCAGAGATGCTGGTATAATTCACAATGTGCCTTAAAAGGAAATGACTTAAAAAAAAGAAGAAGAAATGGTGTTTCATTCATTTAAAGTCTCCTTGTTTTTTTGTTTTTTTTTTCACCTTCTTTTCTCTTTCCCATCACCCCAACCAGTCGTGGCATATGCCTGCCCCTCTGTGAGCCAGAGTTCTTCCCGTTAAAAGGACATTTTTCCTTCCCACTGTCGCCAAATGCTTGCTCATGGGAAGCTGTCTGATCGTTTGGGTGGGGCTCTAATATTGTAAGGCCTTTACCTTACAATATGAAGTGCCTTGATGTTATATAAATAAAACTAAATTGCATTAAATTGAATAATTATGAAGTATCTTTCCCAAGTGAGTGAGAGCGAGTGTGTTCAGCTGTTTGGAAGCTCTACTAGTCCCTTAGCCTATTAATTTTTTCCCCTCTAGAGACTGAATGCATAGCAAAGCCACCGCAATCTCAAACAAGCTGACTACACACACACACACACACGCACGCACACGCTGTACCTACACAAGGTTTTTTTCGCAAGCGGTTTGTTGATTCGTTTAAGAGGCTGAGTGCATTTTAGACATTTAAGAGTTTTTGTTTATAAAATGTATATACGGATTACAAAATTATGACTTAATACTACAAACAAGCAAAGAAACACTTAAATGATCACACGAGGCTAGCTCCAAAAGTGAGTCAGGGCCCCATCTTGAAACGGTGTCTGGTATTAGGAGCTCATCTGACTAAAGGCAAAGTTTCTGTCGCCTTTAGCCAGATTTTTATTAACACCTCTGCACTGGGTCATCATTGTGTGATGACCCAGTGCAGAGGTGTTAAAGATAAGGCCCAAGGGCCAGAACTGGCCTGCAAAAAGCCAAATGTGATTGCTTTGACTGCTAAGATGGAGAAATTTACGTCAGTTTTAAAGCCTTACTGACAAAAATAAGTCTCCTGACAAACCGCAACAAAGCATTTAAATAATGCATAAGCAATCAAATGTACGACGCTGAGGTGTTCTCTCATTGTATTATATTAAATAACAAAAACTTGTATAGGAATACAGTATTAGGCTACGGTATGTTTGTTCAATGCATCTAAAAAAATAAAATCAACAAGCCAGTGTGCTACATTGATCTTCTGTGGTTAAGAAGTGTTTTAATTACGTCATAATTCAAAGTAAACTCCAGTGTGATGATACTAAATTTCCATGAGCTTAACTAAATCATAAGCTCGCCAAGACTCGCCCATTATCGCTCAAGTATTGCATATTCTTTCGTTTGTTTTGCTAGTCTGTTTTTCCATTTTTCTCTTATTTAAATGATTTTTTTTTTGCCACAATGTAAATATTATGAAGGTACACCTGGATTCCTTTCTGGCACCAAATATTTACTCATCCTCCTCTTTTCCCTTTTTTTCTGTATCCCCGCCGTTCCTTCCCTTCTGGACGTTTATGTCCACAGCGGACTTTGGCTTTGCGAGGTACCTTCAGAACAACATGATGGCAGCCACGCTCTGTGGATCCCCTATGTACATGGTAAGCACAATTTGGGTAATTGTTACTGATGAAATGGAAATAACTGTTTAAATGTGAATAAATGTTTCAGTTGGCAGATTCAAATATGGTGATTTTAGCTGTTTGAGATTGTTGCAGTCCTATTCATTCATTTATTTGTTACATTTTTAACTAAATGCGATTTGTAAAACAATACAGGGATGAATATAATATCAATTTAATAATCAATTGTCCCTTAAAGTTTTAAAATTGATCTCACCTCCCCTTTAATTTTTCTCACCAGGCTCCTGAAGTAATTATGTCCCAAAACTATGATGCCAAGGCTGACTTGTGGAGTATAGGAACAATAGTGTTTCAGTGCCTGACTGGAAAAGCTCCTTTTCAGGTAAAATAAAAGTTTACAATATCCAGAATGATTCTTGGCCAAGCCAGGGGGGGGGGAGGCAGGCAGGCACGTTTATTTTTATTTTTTATTTTTTTTCCCCTTTCCAGAATTCTGAGAAAAAAGTCAGAATTCTGACTTTAATCTCAGAATTTTGAGAAACGAATTCTGTTAAAAAAAAAAAAAAAGAGTCGGAATGCTGAATTCTGACTTTTTTTCCTCAGAGTTCTGGAAAAGAAGATGTGCCCACTTTTTTTTTTTTCCTCCGGTGGCCCAGATCCTCTTCCGTAACAAACTTGAAGTCAAACCAGTATTTGGTGTGTCCACTCTGCGCCTTTAAGAGAGCTCCAGTTTTAGGCTTTTCTAAACTGTTATGTTGGGGCTTATCATCTATTTCAAGACCTTCAGATAATCTTTTTGCTGAAGATTGTTATTTAGGACTGCATGTTTTGGACCACTGACATGTTGAACTTTGAACTTTAAGACTGAAACCAGGCACATGCATCCCTGATGTGATAGGATATGGATAAAAACCTCAAATCAAAAGTGCCTGAAACATTGGAATATCAGCTCATTGTGAGGATGTCATAACTAGCACACAGATTAGAAAATATTTTTGCTTTTGTCATTTGCTCCAAATCTGTGGGCATTCTTGCAATAGCAGTACAGACTGCACACCAGCAGGGACAAAACAACAACTCCAGCATTGTGACTTCTTTATTCTCTTTGTCTTTGGCAGCTACAGTCATGCACTGCTTCTGTACTGTATTCCTTATAACTGCTCTAACATCACACATTTAAAAAAAAAAATCTCCCTTTTGTTTTTCCTCAGCCTGTATCGGGCTAAATGTAGATTAAAGATGCCAAATGTGGATGTTGACAATGGTGTTAAAATGAAGCGTAATATAGCAAAACCTGTTGCGTGTTGTTCCTCAACTGATCCAAAAGCATTTTTAAATTACCTGCTGTGTTTTCCTTGTTCTCTGTACATAAAAGTTGTTACTCAAGTAAATGGAGTGTGTTGTTTGCAGTGCAGTGACAAAACCTGATATAATAAAAATGTATACAGCAATGCACTAGAATAGTGTAATCGTATAATTACTCTGTGTGTATATGCATACTCTTACAGACTTTCTTATGTTTTTCCAATATATCTGTGACTTTTTGCCATCTTCAGGCCAGCAGTCCCCAAGATCTCCGGCTGTTCTATGAAAAAAACAAGAATCTCAGCCCCAAGTAAGAAATTATGTTGAAATGACGATATGTTTAAAAAAAAAAAAAAATGTCGTAGTTTTCTGCATTTATTATAAAGGTATTTCTTAGAATATAAGTATTGTTTGGATGTTTAGTGCAGAAACAAATCTGAAAGTTGTGGCTTATTAAGATGCCATATTGTAGGTCAGCTTATCAAAGACCTGGAAAAAAGCCATAAATCATTCATTTATTCTTGTTTGCTAATACATATAAATTGCCTCAGAAATGTCTTAATCTAGAAAATCTATAAAGAGTTGAAGCGTAGGAGTTGAAGGTGGAGTTTTGCTGTATGTAGAGTTGTGACCTTTTAATCATTTGCATGAAGCAAAGACTGATTGTTGTTGTATTTGTTTTACAGCATTCCCAGAGAGACTTCAAGCCACCTGAGGCAGCTGCTGCTGGGTCTGCTGCAGCGCAACCACAAAGACCGCATGGACTTTGGTCAGAAAATGTTTAACGTTCATTCATACTCGACATATTTCACTCGTGCAAGTTTGGATCAAACTTTGCTTATGCAAAAGATGTTGTTACATTTTCTTAGTTTGTTGCATGCAGAGGAAAACTGTGAACTTCCTCTCATTAATTATATTTATTCTCCCTGGTAGATGACTTTTTTTGTCATCCTTTCCTGGAGGCTAGCTCATCTGTGAAAAAGAGTAAGTAAGAATAAACAGCATTACTTCCTTAGTTAGGTCTAATATAGATACAAATACAAAATATGTTCCATTTGCTTCAATAGAAAATATAACCCTAAAAATAAAACTAGGTGGCTGAAGCAATGTTTACAGGATGAGATCTGATAGTCAGGCCAGTCACGTAAAGATAGAACGGGTGTTATAACACCTGGAAGTCCTGTGGACTTTAATTCTGAACACACAAAGTTTCTTTTTTCAGAAACTAACAACTGTGTTGAATTTCATTTCAGCAACTCCTACTGTGACCATGACTTGTTTGCCCAGCTCTGCATCAGCCAGCTCTTGTAGCAGCTCTTCCACGTCTCACCTCGCCTCACCGCCGGTTTGTGTTTGTTATTTCTTATATTTCCTCCAGCATTTCCCCCAGAGGGGATGAGCACGAACACCAAAAGATCCCCAAAGAAGCCAAAAACTTTTTTAAATTTATCATTTTTTTTATGTGCACTAATTTCCCAAAGCGGCGACCTCTGGAGGAAAACAGAGATTTTTGTATTTACTTTTTTTTTGATGAGTGTAAAGTTTTATTTGCATTCATAGAAGCAACAACTTTCTCACCTTTCCCTTCTCTGATGACTAATTTATACGTTCCTCCTCTGTGTTTAATATGCCACCTTCTGTCTCCCTGTCTCTGTAGCAGTCGCTTGCTGAGATTCAGCAGTTGCGAGCCAAAGCTCTGGCCTCTCCCACCCAGGAGGCCACTGGTTTTCTCCTTAAGGACTCGTCTGGAGGTGGCGGCAGCAGCAAGAACTCATCCTCCTGTGACACAGATGACTTTGTGATAGTGCCTGCTCACTTCACCAGTAAGAAAACTTTTCTTTTTCATCGAGTCCCTGCATAAACATTACATGGAGCTCTTCAGTAGACTTGAATTCATCTTGTAGCCTTTTTTCTTTCCATAGACTGACATTTATATTGCATTTCTCAAGCTGAAGCGCTGGGCTATGAGGCTGTTCAAGTTTATAACAGTTTTGTTTTTGTTCAGCAGGTGAGCTGACAAGTGAGAGTAAAGTGCTGCAGGACAGCCTAATGAACAGCGGGTGAGAAGCAAAAGCTAGTTATTCATTAATATCCAGCACAGCGGCTGATATGTTAATTAAATGCACTTCTTTGGCACTGTTACAGAATCGGGCTTATAGAGGAAGATAAATTATGTTAGTAATCACACTTATATTACCTGTGAAAGTGTACGCCCTCTAAACTGTTCATGAATAACATTGTGATGGTTTTATTCTCTTCTCCACTTTAATTAGCTCTCTTTTAGCATCAGCTGGTCTGTGTAACCAAGCCAAAACACCGCCGCACTCGCCTTCCTACAGTGGATCACCAAGTCCTGTCAGGTAACTGCACACAGCCACATTGTTTCTTATGGTGGTAAATGTGGGGGAGTTAATTAGGTGATCTCCTGATGAATTTGCAAGTTTGCTCACTTACAATGATATTAACAGTCTCTAATTTTTATTGTAGTTTAATTTTAAAGGAGGGACAAAAATTCAAAAAACATATTATTAAAAAAAGGTTTAAGTGTATTTGTGTGTCACTGAATGGAATAAGAAAAACTTGGCTTGATGGAGAAACCCTTGTTGGCAAGCACAGCGGCAAGAGGTTTCTTGCAGTTGGTCAGCAGGTTTGAAACCATCAACTGTGGCCCACTCCTCTTTACAGAAATTCTCTAAATCCTCCAGGTTGCTTGGCAACTCGAAGCTTCAGCTCTATCCGCAGATTTTTCTAAAGGACTGAGGTCTGGTCTGGGCCACTCCATCACCTAACCCTCTGGAGTCTAGGGTTGAATCGGCTGTTTTTGACCACCTTTGATTTTACCTTTATATTTTTCTTTTAAAAACTGTTTACCCTCCTTTGTTTGGTTTCAATGTTTTTAGCACAACCTCACGTCTGGCTTCACAGTAATTTCTGCGATATATCCGAATAGTTAGACTAATAGCTGAAACTACTTTCAAAATTAGAGACTGTGTATTTCTTTGTAAGTGAACAAATTCAACAAAATATCAAGTAATTATTTCCCCTATTGCATAGTTACATGGTGCAAGAAAGAAGCAGCTGGTAAAGTAATTTGGATTCAACTAAAGCACCGAAGGTTCATGCACAAAATTTTCTTCACTATAAACTGTCAGGTTTTTAATTAAGTCGGTTTTATTAGTTTAACAAGCTTAATTGTCCTAGTGTTTATCTCTCTATTACATACACAGTTACTCCACAACTGTCATCTTAATCTTTTGTTTTGTGATGTTAGTCGATGTGTTGTTTGTACGTAAACATTGTGCAAATTAATAAGTCACATCTGCTTCCTCTGGAAAGTGTTAACTACGCATGTGTGTACAAAAGCACACGGACTGTCTCCTCTCTTATCTAACTGTTCCCTTGGCACCCTCGGTTATTCTCACTGTTGTCAGGCCCAGCGAGTTCTCGGGAAGTAGCTATGGAAACCATGGTCAGTCATTGCCTATTCCAGTCCCCACTCAGGTCCAGAATTACCAGCGTATGGAGCAAAACCTCCATTCTACCAAACAGGATGGTTCGCCACGGTCTGCATCAAGAAACACACACACACACACACACACATTTATAAATGTATAAACTCCACTGTTGCAAAACTAAATTTACAGGTTAGCTTTTAAACTTCTTGATGGAAGTGCAGTGACTCATAAGACTCATTTCATTAGGCTGTCAACACCAGTGCGCCGCTGCAGCAGTGGAAGCTTGTTGGGCTGTGCTAGGACTGGACCTTCACCACCCTATGGGCAGGGGGCTGTCACCACCATCACCACCACCACCACCCGCAGGTTCTCCCTGGGAGGTGCCAGAACTTTGCAGCTCTCTCCTCAAGGTAACTTGAAGGCCATGCTTCACTTGCTTCTGCATCAACCTGTCTTAAAAATATGGAAGCTGTAGAGTGATAGAGTGCAAGCTTAGAGCTAACTGGTTGGTGCCAAACTCCAGTGACGATATTTGAAAGGTATTAAAACTACACCAGCCGGTCTTTTGTCTGTTTGTAACCATATTATAAATTATAGATATTAGTTATAAGGAGATCAGGGAAAGTTTGTTTTGGTGCAAATGATTTCTAGAGGAGCAAAAACTGTTAAGGAAATCTGAAAAGTGAGATTATTTCTCTCTTTGTTTGTTTTTTAAAGCTCAGTTGTACTTAATACTGTCATTTATAACTTGTATATATAAATCTACTTCTGTCATTTATATAGCAGAAATTATCTGAGTTGTTTAAGCTTTTGATGCACGATGACTTGCTGAGATTTTTCTTTGTTTTGGAGTATTTATAAATTGAATATGTGGGGCTTCTAAGCAGACAAAGACATGTGAACATGCGATGAGGAGTTTTCTAACCTTTAACTGGAGGTTAAATTAAAATCCACTAACAAAAAGACCAAGCAGAGCAAATGATGATAAATTATTGAATAGTTTAACCTCTAAAATTATTATTGATTTCCAGTGGTTGGCATGAAAACTGAACTGCAGACAGAGGTGAAATACAGTGTGGTGGTGTTCTTCCTCTTGGGTTAGTGTGGTCAGAAGTTTTAAAAGTTATTGCTTGAGAAAATGAAACCGCCATCACATACTTTTCTCACCAGCTGCTTTCAAGTCCTCCTCGCACAGAACCTTCTCTTCCCAGACATGTATGCTGTCGGGGGAGTTAGACAGGACATGTCCATCTTTGCTAGCTTTGTTGTTTTCTAGGCCTGTCTGACACTTCATGTTGCATTGCCACCTGCTGTCTAGCAGTCCTTCTGTCCCACTTTGCAGCTCTGCAGCACACTGAACCCAGGCTGAATTCTCAGCAGCAACCACAGAGGGCAGGACTTGGCACAAGGCTCCACAGTGCCCCCTGTCTGTTGGACTGTGCCACTGGTGGTGGCAGGCAAAAAATCCGAAAGCAGCACTCGGACCCTCTGGGTACTCCCTCAGCCGGACTCATGGCTGTCCGCCCCTTACACTCTTCTCCCAGACTGAGTGAGCTGATGCAGCGTAATCCTCTCCCCACTATTCTGGGCTCCCCCTCCAGGGTAGGTCTGTGTTTTGTGTGTCAAACAGAGAGAAAAATTGTTTTTTTCTTTATGTACGCAAGACAAGACAAAACCACCACCTGGTTTAACCCAACCTTTCTAACCTTTTTCTTCGCCATGTTTCCTCTTCGCCCAGGCCATCCCACCATTTGAATTCCCCAAGACTCCGAGTTCTCCAAACCTGGTGACCTTCCTGACACAGCAGGGTATGGTCATAGGCTCTCCTTGCAGCAGGACTGCCCCAGCAGAGCTCAGAGACCTGGTACACCAAGCACCCACACCGGTCACCCATTCTCCTCATTGCATCCACAGATGGAATGATGATACCAAGAGCTTTGGAAGGTCGTGTTTTGTTTCTGCTGTTCTTTGTTTTATGTTCCCCGATGATGCAATCCACAAAGAACCAGGGTACACAGAGAAGCTTGTGTCTTGTAAAATTAGTTTAAAACAGGCAATGTTGGGCACTTAAAAGCACACATTGCTGAGTTAAAATCTTTCTCTACCTTTTCTTTATTCTTTGGACTTTTTATTATATAGTGTACTGTTTTATTATCCAAATATGATGTAAAATTATATTACAGAGTATGTAGATAGATATGGCTAATTAATAAAATGAAGGAAATGAATAAACACCTTGTCTCTGTGTCATGTTTCTTTGAAGCAGGTCTCAAAGTGCCGGTGGTCTGTCCGACGTGCTGCTGATGGCTGCGTTTGGACCCGGTGGACCTGCAGGTGACCGAGGCAGCACAGAGAACCTGACCTCTGAAAAAGCCATAGATATAACAGGTAGACATGACTGTTGCATGAACGAAAAAACACACATTGTTCTGCAGTTTAACCACTGACGCATGTAAAGGTTTGGAACTGATAGTGATTCATAGGGAGAAAAATGTCAAATTTGTTCCCTCCTTCTGTTTCTCAAGGATCCCCGGGTGGCGGGGGAGGCTCTGGCAGCCCAGCACAGGTGGTTTTCACTGTAGGATCTCCACCTAGTGGCAGCACTCCACCCTTTACCTCCAGACAGAGAAAATACTCAGGTATTGTGCATGAAAACATGTCGACAGAGCTGAATACAAGTAATTCATCTCCAAATCGCATCTGCAGCACGATGGCAGTATTACGATGATTCACAGTCGGGCAGTACAAAGCTGAGTTTTTCATTTTAACTAACATGGAAATTAAATGTTCTGGTTAGCATAAGAGTAGGTGTGTGTAAGTGTGTGTATATGTGTGTGTATGTATGTGTGTGTGTGTGTATGTATGTATGTATATATGTGTGTGTGTATTTATGAACAATCAGGAAACATGAAAGCCAGCTGCACTGATGAAAAATGATTGCCTCGGGCATTGAGTGTAACATTTCTGCCGTCTCTTTCCCTGACTGCAGGCTCATTCACTTCAGGCAGCCCTGCAGGCTCCTTAACCAGCCGTCATCCTCCGACAGGCACCTGTTTGGATGGCTTTGAGGCTTCTTCCAGTCCTCGTTACAGTTTCCCCGATCCCATCACAGCCAACATGGGTGGTCGCGTCACCTTCGAGGCTCCCGAGCTGCCCGAAGAGACGCTGATGGAGGTGAGATGCCAGATTCCTCTGGAAAGTAATGAGGATGGAGTCTTCTGTGTTCAGAGCTTGTGTGTAGCAGTGACTTTTCCTGTTCTTGTGTACATCAGTCAGGGTGATCTTGAACTAAAGAATACTCAGTATCCCTTTAAAGAGTGTTGGCCATAAGGAAGGATGGAAAACATTGTCAATGAGGTTTTTGGGGGGGTTTTTTCTTTCTTTTTTTTCCTTTTAGTTCACGACACTGTAGAAAAGTAATTTAAGGTAAAAGCTGAAATGGATTTATGGAAAGCACTGAATGACCTGTCTCTTTTTAAATCCTGGGCTTTTTTTCACCGATGGAGATTGAATGCAAAACCTCATTCTGGTGTCCACCGTTTAAAATTCTGTCATTATACCCTCCCCTCCCTTTCTCTGCCTGTCTTTCTTCTGTGCTTGTCGGAGTTCAGCAGGAGCATACAGACACTGTGCAAAGGCTGCGGTTCACATTGGATTTTGCTCTGTGTCTAATGGAGGTGGCTGCTGCCCGTGGTGCTACAGTGACAGGGGAGCAGGGGGACTTTTCTCATCTCTCTCTCCTTCAGCAGCAGAGCCTGGTAGCAGATCAGATAAGCTCGCTGAGCCGAGAGTGGAGGTAAGGCCGTATCTGCTGTGGCTGTGCCTCTTTGTTGGATGAATTGATACCTTGGCGATTTCCTGGCTTTACGCCGCGTTTGGTGATAAGCCTCTGGGGTCTTGGACATTTTTATTAAATTGTATTGGTGCCTCAGAGACTTACTATGGAAAAAAGAAATTGGAATACATTTAATTATTTTTTATTTTTGTTGCTGTAATGTTAATGTAATTGTAAGCTTATATGCTTGAATGCATCTTTGCTGCAGGACAAAAACTAAAGTAAAAGCAGCGGGTTGTAGTGAAGGAGTCATCATGTAGGTCATTTTGTGTTTTTATGCACCCGGACTTTTTTTGTTGTGTACTTCAGCTTGAAATGAAGAATATTTGCATTTTGCCCAGAGAGTGCTGGGAGCAAATAGAAAAGAGAAAACTGCCCAAGTGCCTGCTGCTCAGGACACCATGGCAAAAGTAAAAAGCCTGAGGCACTCTCATTTGTAGAGGATGAGATTTTTGGCATTCTCAAGTTTTTTTTGTTTTTTTTTCTTGGGAAGACTTTAATCTGAAGTGTAAATGTAGTTGTTGCGTTTGATGGTTTTTGACTGCCTCTAGTGAATTTTCTGATGCTGAATATTTCTTAAACAGAAACCTGTGATTCAGATTTTTATCCTACAAGTATCGATTGTGTTTAATGTGTCATTTGTCCTTTTAGAATTGAGTTTAACTTAAAGTACTTTACGTGTGATTGCCTCCTCAGTCATGCAGAACAGCTGGTTCTCTACCTTAAAACTGCAGAACTCTTGTCCAATGCCTTACACACAGCAATGGAGCAAGTTAAACAGGGCAAGCTTTACCCATCTGCTACTGTCAAACAAGGTATAAGCCTTCTCATTTTTTCAGTGGCAGTCTTAAAAACATAAAATTGCCATGTGCAGGATATATATATA